GGGTCAGGATGGTAGAGAGACAAGAATAGGATCTTAAAAGATAAGAAAGATTTGCCGAGAGAGGGGATTCCTAATGGGTTATTCTGAAGCTACAAAATTAGATGGATTATTGATGTGTGAAGACTATGGAATAAAGTGGAAAGAATTTATCAGAAGTTGCTGAGGATGTGTTGAGAAGCATGATCATCAAATTATTAATTCCCTGAAATAGCATATTTGGGGGATATTGGAGAGTGGAGGTAAATGCTCATGACCTGGCAGTAGCAGGTGGAAAGTTGTTTCAGGAGAAAGTCACCCTTGCAGAGTGTATGTCAGAGGTGGACATGTGTGAGCAAGCAATAAGATAACTGGGGTACACTGTCCTTCACTGGATGAACCTAGCCCCACTGTCCAACCTTATAAACAAGCAGGACTTCAGGAAATGCTTGAGGCACTAGAGCTAGATTTCATTCATCAAGACTTGGGGAAGCACCCTCAACTCAGACCTTCTCTTTAACGCCATCTTTCCTTTCTGAGCTTAGTTTGGCCGCCTTCACCACCCTCAAACTGTGGACTAACACTGCCTAGCAAGACCAGTCATTCGTGTCTGATCATTCACATCAGTGGAGCTCCAAAGGCAGTCACCAAAGAGTGTATGAATAAGGAGAGATACTGAAACAGCAGCAGCATTCTGTTACAGTGTGGCCCAAGACAGCCGTGTGTTCCTGGCATCACCGTAATTATGAACATCATTTAGGGAGAAGTTCTCAGATGGCGACGCCTGGCTATCTAAATTCTCTGTACCCCCCAGTCCACTCGGTGACTTCAATAACGGTTTTGGCCCCCAACATCTCTCTCTGTGTCTACTCACAGTTTTTGGATTCTTCTTTCCTACACATTTTTCTTGAGGTGGCTGGGACTATAGCAGAGAAGCTTGGCCAGCCCAAACTCCCCTGGGGTCCCAACAGGATGCCCAGCACTAACCTACCTTCTGGGAAGCTCCTTAGATCTTCCCATTTGGGGGACTTTGTATTTCACCTGTGCTTCAAATTATTGGCTGGAGGTGACCTGTTGGCAGGGGGCTCAAGGCCAGTAGCAACCCTTCGGACAGCCTGGCCCTCTTGACTGTCGGGAGAAATCTCCAGGGGTGCTCTAGGAAATGCTGTTCATGCTAAAGAAGGAATGGAAACAATCCAACTGTCCAATAATGCTTGAATGAAAAATAAACGGTGCTATATGCATAAGATGGAATAATACCAAAGACTTAAAAATGAAAGACATAGATCTACATGAATTGACATGGATAAATCTTGAAAATACAATATTGATTGCAAGAAGATAAGATGTGACATTTCTCATAGCAATATATATATATTTTTTGATGTATCACCTCAGGCAAGGGAATAGGAGAAAAGAAACAAACGGAACTACATCTAACTAAAAAGTTTTTGCACAGCAAAGGAAACTATCAAAAAAAGAAAGGAAATAACATGCAAGATATTAGATTATTATAACAATTATGTAAATATTTTAATCAATTCTACATATTGCTTATGGGTGTATATATGTAAATATATGCAAGAAACTAAATTATGAACTGAATATTTGCAAATCTTTGATGTTGGTTATCTCTGGGGAGGGGAGAAATTTTTTAAAAGGTATACAAAAGGTAATTATGTGTTTTAAAACTATCTATGAAATGTATTATAATGAACTAAATTTATCCACAGAACATATTATTTACAGTTAATATCATCATTATCTAGGAAGCCCCCAAAAATTCACACACAATCTAGTAGGAACTACTAACATAGTTCATCAAAACCAATGAACAACAAGATCAACAAATTTTAAAATCAATCAAGTGCCTCTACACTAGCAATAATAAATTAGAAAATGTAAGAGAAAATAAGAAAAAAATAATGCATTACTTAAAATAGTAACAAGAGCTATCTAAAGGATTTAGAGCTAAGCATGTGTAAAAGTAAATATACCGCCCTGGCCGGTTTGGTTCAGCAGTTAGATCGCTGGTCTGTGGTCCAGAGAGACTGGGGTTTGGTTCCCGCTAAGGGCACGTACCTCGGTTGCAGTTTGTCCCCGGCCCTGATTGGGTCGTGCAGGTGGCGGCCACTCAATGTGTCCCTTTCACATTGATGTTTCTCTCTCTCTCTTCCTCTCTCTCCCTCCCACTCTATCTGAACAAAAAATGAAAAAATGTCCTCTGTTAAGGATAAAAAATAAAAGTAAATATACCTAACAGTATGACCAATTAAATGGTGCCCAACTCAAGGTTAGAAACAAAACCGGCTCAATACGTTAACTATATGGAGCTCTTACTTCATGAGAGAAGACTCTCTTCTCAAATAGCAGATCAATACATGAGAGTGACTCTAAGAAACACAGCCTTTTAAAGGTCGGCTACTCCATGCTTCTTGGTTACACAGAAGGAAGCTGAAGCTCAGACAGGTTGAGTCACTTAGTCAAGGGGCTGTTCTGACTCAAAGACTAACATTTTGCACTAATTCATGAGCCACAATTCAACTCAGTGCCATGTAGTTACTTGACCTGAAGTGGAGAAATTACCATGACAAAATTCTAGATATTGAGGGAAAATTGAAGTACAGAGTTTAAGATGCCAATAATCCAGAGGAAAACTGGAGAGCATTTAAAATGTGTTATTGAACATTAATGACTCTTGGTAAATATATAGAAGAAATGCATTCTGGTTAACGGGGAAGTTCACAAAACAACTGCAGGGGAAAGAGGCACTCTTTCTCAAAATATCCATTAATAAAAGAATAGATAATTATATTATAATTTTGTCACTAGAATAAATTACACTTCCCTTAAAAATGGGATGGCTATATATTAAAGATTTGTATTGAACATCTATAGTAAAGACATTAAATGGTCTCCAAAGAAGTTAATTTTAGAATAGATATGATATAATTTATAAATCAAAATTCTCTATAAAGTTAGATATCATATATAAAACACCTATGTATGTAAATGCATGAACTAAAGGTCTTGAAATCAAACAGCTAATAGTAAACATCTCTGCAGGAAGAAATAGGCTTGGGAATGGGGTTGGAGTATTATAAAAAAGGGACTTTTGCTTTACTTTAATATCATTTGAGTTTTTAATGAAGAGAACATTTCTTTATTACTCCTTAATTTTAAAAATATATAACTGCATAGTATTAAAAATTACCTGGAATATTTATTATTATTTCTCTTTGCTTCTAGATTTTTTGTCCTCAACTTGTCAGCTTGGGACTCAAGTTCACTGCATTAGGAAGATAAAGACCCAGCACAGAACAGGGAGAAAGAAGAAAAATCCTTGGCTTTGGAATGTGAAAAGCAGAAGCCCACAGTAGAACAAGAAAGATTTATGTGGAAAAAATAATCTCACCTTGATTGTAAAAAGCATTTCCTGCACTGGGAGGTAAGAAAGGGCGGGGGAGTTTTGAGGGGGAGAGATCAGTGTGTCCAGGGACAAGGGAAATTGTGTTCCGCAGCAGAATCAGTATCTAGACACTGTCCAGCCTGCACCAGACCACGGACTCCAGCCACTACTCCCAAACTCGGACACGGGATATTCAGAGAGCGAGTGGGTGTAAGTCAGGAGGGTAACACCAGGCTGCACCTCCCTGATGGTCTGTGTGGCAAGGGTTGTGGCCAGTCCCTATGTGTGAGAAACACCCATAGATTTTAATTTTCTGTTCTAGTTCATTTGAACTGATTTCAGGGAGGGGCATTTAGTTACATCTACTTCACTAGAATCCTAACCAACAGTTTAACGATGAGCTTCAGTATGGCTTTAAACTACTCTGAAATACCTTACTCTGAGCAGAGATTCAAAGTCTTAGTCAAAATGTGTTTGTCAGTGGCCCCACTGAGAGGCTCTGGTGTGACAGACGTGTGCGGTCACCTTAGAAACGCACTCCAGCCGAAGGCCTCTATTCCCCCACTCCATGGTCAATGCGGTTCTCTCGTGAGATAATGTGACCTTCCTGTGACACCCTGAAGCCTCCCTAGAGGCCCTCGTGGTATGCCCCTCCATGCTTCACAAGGAAGTCTCTACCCAGCAGGAACAGAAATGAGAACCCTCATTTTATAACCAATAGTCTACCGATGTATGTGGAATAAACCCTAGGTGTTTGAAGCCATCAGGGAAAGTAAAAAAACATTCCCAGGACGGGAGAGGAAATGATGTTGACCTAAGAAAAGAGGAGGAAAGAGATATTTCTGGTAGACCCCACAGCTGGTGAAAAGGAACAGCGATGAAGATTTCAGAGCAGCCCTGACCAGTTTGGTTCAGCAGTTAGAGCATCAGCCTGCAGTCCAGAGAGACCCAGGTTCGGTTCCCACTAAGGATACATATCTCGGTTGCAGTTTGTCCCCAGCCCTGGTTGGGTTGTGCAGGTGGCAACCACTCGATGTGTACCTTTCACCTCTCTCTCTCTCTCTCTCTCTCTCTCTCTCTCTCTCTCTCTCTTCCTCACTCTCCCTCCCACTCTATCTGAACAAAAATGGAAAAAGTGTCCTCAGGTGAGGGTAAAAAAAAAGATTACAGAGCATGCAGAGGTGGTCAGAGAGTGGGTGTGAAAGGCATACACCTCAGATTCTGAACTCTTTGGAATGACGGTTACAGGAGGCACTAAGCATCTTGAGCAAGAGATGTGCACATACCAATGACATCCCTGATGGAGAGGCTGGGCAGCATGAAGCCAGTTAGGAAGCCCCAGAGTAATAATGACAACACCAGAGCACTGGAACCATTGTTGACTCAATAAAGCCCCATAGAAACCTCCCTACACATCTGGGGGGGGGGGGGCCGGGGGGGCAATCCACGGGATAAATTGATAAAAATCTCTGAACTTCAGGTGATTTCCTTCTAATTCTATCAGTCCTTCCAAGGCCTGGCTTTGGCCCCCTTCAGGTTAGGAAGACACAGTACTTGCCCCTCACCTTCGGAACCGTGGACAGCCTCATGCCTCAAAAGGAGTCTTCAGCGCCTCCTAGATCTGCCTTTCATCCCAGTGGGTGGTAGAAGTGGTGAGAGGCTGAAGTTCAGAGGTGACAAAGTCAAGAACTTGAGAAGCTAGAATAAGAGAAATAATTTAGAAGTTAAAATATTAATGTCAGAACAAGGACTATGGAAGCTCATCAGCTCCAACTCCTAACACAGTGATCTCCTCCCCCAATTCCTGACTGTGGTCAGATGGCTTCCATTTGAGTGGTTAACAGAGTGCCACCCTCTCGGGAGGAACCTATTCCATGGGCAACTGCAAGACGGAGAGGTGTCTCCTCTGTCCTGGAGTTCCTGTGTGAAGCCACAACTAACAGAGCCTTGTCCAGGCCAGACCAAGGGAGACACGCAGACCACCCTCCAGACCTCTGAAGTGTCCCCTCTCAGGGCTTTCAACCAGGGCCCGTTAGACATGGTTTCCACAGCACCTGCTACTTTCCTGCTTCCTCTGAACTAGTGTAGCTTGTCACGGTCCATGTGGAATGTGGTGTCCAGCCTTGGAAATCGTCACACAGAAGCCTAATCAAGCCTAAGGGACTGGATACTATTGCTTCTGGAAAAGGATGGTGGATATCTTTGGTGCCTATGGGAAACCTCATTCACAAACCACTAGAGAGGCAGATGTAGATGGTGGATGGATAGATAGATGATAGATAGATGGGATAGCCAGATAAATTTAATTGAAGAATATATCCACTAGGTAGAGTGCCAGGTGGGTACTTGAAATATTGGGGGGAACCATTTTGTAAAGTATATGATTGTCTAACCACTACGCTGTTACACCTGAAAGTAATACAAAACAATATTGAATGTAAACTGTCATTAAAAATAAAATATTAAACTATAAAAATTTAAAAGTAAATTTTTTAAAGAATATGTCCAGGAAATTTTTGGAAAACAGCCTTTATTGCACATGATGTTTCTGTGTTAGACTGAATACTGGCCCTTCGTCTTCCTTCATACCACCGGCATTCTGTCTGCTGCTGTCTCCATGGTCCTGTCTTCTCCCTGGGCGTGAGAACACAAAAGTGGCCGAAGAGGAAAAGACAAGAAGCGACCTGGGCTCTGCTGGTCAGAGTTACCCTTCACTTTGTCTTAAAGCTCAGAGGCCACGCATACACAATGAGTATGTTTCCAAATCAACTGCGGCAAAATCAAAGGTTCTAGAACATTCCAGATCTCTTATGACCGACCTCATTTTCATGTATTTCCATCTACCCGTTCCACTTTCTCTCATGGGTCTATGTCCACAGGCCATCGCGAGATCTCAGCTCAGGCCAAAGGCTCTCAGCCCTTAAGCCTCTAGTGCTGCTAAGCCCCCTGTCCTTTCTCCAGACCAATCCTGGCCCTTGGGGCTGTGCTGAGCTCTGTTGCCTAGAGGGCTGTGGGCAGTATTTCCTTCTAGAGGTCAATTGTGGAGACTCCGGGAGAACTCCTGTCAAAATTCTCCACGATAAGAAAATGGAAGTCAATTCCCTGGAGGCGTCGGATATGCCACAGGTGATGCAGCTCCCGAGGCACCAGGTAGCCCCGTGCACCCTGCAGCCGTTCCCTGAGATTCCTCTGGGCCTTCATGATGTAGCTCAGAAGACTGCCCGCCTCAGGCCTTACCTCTCCCAGGAGGAGGCCACACCGTCTTCAAGGATCTTCTGGCCCGGGAATCTCAGTTGCTGTGTGGAAACAAAACAGTGAAAGAAAAAAGGTGCTCTGTTAGCCCTTAGAAATTCTCAGAACGTCCTGCAGGAACCGGAAGGCTCAGGATAAATGCCTACTTACAGACAAGACTGTATTAAATGCCTGGTCAAGAGGCAAGGTCTTACCCTGTGGGCTGCTCCTCCTCCTCTTTTTCTTCTTGCTTCTCTTTATCCTTCTCCTTCTCCTCCTTCTCCTCCTTCTCCTCCTTCTCCTCCCTCTCCTCCTCCTCCTCCTCCTCCTTCTTCTCTGGGATGCTCTCTGAATTCACACCGCTTCTCAGCTGAGCCATGGTGAGGTGAAAGACGTGGCAGCTGAAGCCCTCCCTGACCCCAAACTGCACATGCTCCTTGAGGGCCTCCAAGGTGGGGAAGACCCGGCAGCAGGCCATGCACCTGAAGCCAGTCTCCATAGTCACCAGCCAGTCAGGTGTCCTGGCTCTGGGTCTCTCCTCAACTGCAGACAATCTCAGCAGGCCCTCTGCCTCTGCTCTCTCCTCGTGCTCTTTCACCTCCCCGCTGTGCTCACTGTCAAACAGGAGGTTTCTGGTGGACACGTCAGAGGGGGGTGTACCTACCTGCACGTACTCGGGAAGGTTCACTTCTTCCATCCTCGGCTTCTTTTTTAGTGACTCTGAGGTTTCCTCCCAGGAGACAGCCACACCCTTTTTCACTTGTACCTGCATATAGAATATTTTCATGCCCCTTTCCTCTTTGTTTGTATACTGAGAGGTCACACAGGTCTTATAGGATGAAGAGGGCGTTAAGGATACATGTGGTGGGAGGGGAGGAGTCTCCTCTTGTTCCTGAACCTGGTCTAGGGTGCATCTAGGCTGGGGACTGTCTCCATGTAATCTCCGGATGCCTAGGAAAGGAAATCAGAAACATGAAAACATGCATGGGACATGCTGGCACGCGGGGGAACTCATATGAATATGTGGGACCTAGCAGAGAGGGACTATGGTGTGACGTAGCTGTGATGACCTTGGTGTCTGTTTTTCATATTATGGGATAGTATATCTAATGTTATCTGTGGGCTTCTCACTTGTATGTGTAGGGATATTGGAGGAGTGTCCGTACATGGAGGTGGGGAGGAGAGTGATGAGGACTGTGGGATGTGGGATGTTTCTTGGGTGTGTGCTACGAGAGGGGTGTGAGTTTGTGATATCACTGCTGTGTTGTTTGTGGAATGTGGGCTGTGGTGTAGGAGAATGGCACTGTGGGTCATGCGTTTGGGTTCTCTGCATGTGCTAAGCATGGACTTGCATGGAATGTGGTTGTACATGTGAGGTGTGAGGGCCTAGCTGAGGGCCTCGCTCCCATGCTGAAGGCTTGTGCTGGGGAGCTCTGTGCCTCCCTGGAGGCAGCGGCAAAGGCAAAGCTGACACACTCCTCTGAAGGTGCCAAATCTGGTCCCTCTGTCCTAAACCTCAAACCAAGACCTTTATGAGCCCTGCTCCCTAATTTCCCCACTGTGGTTGCACCATGGCCCTCACTCTCCCACAGTGAGCTCATCAGATCCAATCTCTCCTGACAGCTCTGCCATCCTCCCAGGCTTCTACAAAGAGCCCCAGTCACCTCCGATTGCCCTGGGTTTCCTCTGAGCCTCAAGCTTGTCTCTGTGCACCTCCTGCCATGCACCCAAGGAGCCCCACCCCTTACCACCTTGGATGAGCTTGCGTGGAGAAGAAACACAGGAGACGTATTCAGAGGCAGAGGAGGCCTCCCCTACCCCTGGGCCATAGCCTTTGGCCACTTCAGTTGATCTAAGCTGAAGGACATCCTCTTGTGACTTTGAGATTCCTGAGGAAAGTATGAAAGCCTCAGAGATATGGTCATTTGGACATGTTTGTGAATCATTCATCTGTCCAACAGATGTTTATTGAGTGGCTGTCTTATGTTCAGGTGCAGTGAATACACATGGCTTAGACTCTGTTTCTCAGTGGTTACTCCAGTATCTAGTTATAATCAACAATTTCTTTGTTAGTGTCTTGTTAGGATGTAGGCCTGAGTGGTGGCGAGGACTATGTCAGAAGTGTGAGAGTGACGTGTACCAGCAAAGCCTTTGATAAGTGTGGGGTTGGTGAGTAGGGTAGAAATGTCTGTATGCTTATGGAGCGTCTGCGTGCGTGGTTTGTGTTCACAACTCAGGAGCGTGTGACATGTAACCTGATCATATGGTATGGTTTGTATTTATGGTGTATATTCACTGATTCACTCACTCATTTACAATATTCAATGAGCAATTGCTATGTATCCGGCACTATTCCACTATCCTAGGCTCTAATATTGCTAAACATTCTAGTAAGGGAAGACAGACACTGAACAGAAATACAGGAAGTATATAATGTGTCAGCTAGTAGTAAGCATATTAGGGTTACCAGATTTAGCAAACAAAAACACAGGACACCAGTTAAATTTGTGTGCACGTATAAATGACTGTCTCGTGGAACTCACTTCACAGGAATTCCGTATACCCTCTCACACGTATTGAGTGACACCAGGTCCAGGCGTGATGATAGGAATCTTACCACACAAACTACACATCCAATGAGCACTCTATGCCCATTCTACCTGCAGCTCCCACCACACATACACAATGACAAAATTATCCTGGCTGCTATCTGAAGATCTGCCTTCTGCTCAGGCCTCCATTCCCAGGGCTCATCCTATCGTCTTCAGGACCCTGGGCCCCATGGAAGCTGCTGGGCTCCAATTTAGGGCAGAAGCCTGGAGCTGGATCTCTGGAGCAGGCTCCATTCTGCCCCACCTCCTATATGTGACCCCTACCCCTCCCTTTCTCAGGGCAGCTACTGGTTTACACTTAACGCGCGCAGTCACCATGTGGCCTGGGAAGTCAGCATGGTCTCAGCGCTCCCTGCGAGGCCCTGGCAACATTTCTCTCTCACCCACTTGGTCTGAGTCTCTGGAAGGCCCTTCCCTCCCCCCGACCTCTGGGAAGCCCACCCCTGTGGATTCACAAACATCCATGGGTCAACTGGTAAATTCTTCCTGCTGAAGGAATAAAATCTCCCTGCTTTCAATATGATGCCATCCCTACACAGATGATCTCCTTTCAAACAGGCATTTCCATTCATAAGATCTTTTCCAACAGGATTTAACTCATTGAGCTTCTCTTTGCTCTTTGGTAAAATGCACAGGGCAACCCATGGATCTCTAGCAGCCGCCTTTACACCCCGCCCAGTGGCCCCAGGGTAAGACCACAGAGAGAACAGGAACTGGGAAGAACTGCACCTCTGAGCGTGTGATTGCGGAAACCAGCCCGCTACCCTTCCATGTAGCTCCAGGCCCGAGCAGCCCCCGGAGAGGTGTGTTCTGACCGGCAGGGCTGACTCTCCTCTGCCACGGGCATCTGGTCTCACACCAAGGGACCTCGGGATGGACGTGGCAGCATGAGCCGATACCAGGTCTCTCCCCTTCCTACTTCAGAGGTGACGCACTGTCCTCAGTCCCAGCTTCCTAGGAAGGCTCGGGCTGGCCGCCACTGGTGCCTCAGACAGGATGCCCAGCACATACCTCCTCCCCTCTCGCCAGTTTCCTCGGACTCTGTATTTTCCAAATGTTTCCTCTTTTGTCGTTGTTTCATAGTACCAGCTAAAAGAGTCCCTTAGAGGGTGTCCAGCTCCTCCTTTTCCCTACAGGTTGGCCCTTCTTGGTTCTCAGGAAGTCCACCGAAATGATTGAGTACAAATAGAAATAGCTGAGTCTCCTAAGTGGCTGAAGAACTCAGACCCCCAGAGAACCCGCAGGACTGCCCAGAGCTCACGACAGCACAGGCCTGTTAGGGTTCAAGTGTTGCCAGGCCCACAGCAGAATTCTCTGACCTCAGTGATGACATCGGAGCATTCTGTGGGCCGAGGTCCAACAGTCTCTGCCATTGCACAGACCCCACTTTCAAGAACAATTCTGTTTTTCCCAAAGGAACCTCTCCCATGAATTCAACTCCTGCCTTTTTCTAGTGTGGTAGGATATTCTGAGGTGTTCATCTGTTCCTGTTTCATTTGTTTTTCTTTTTTCCCTTAATTTTCACCCCTCCCCTTCCGCATCAAGGGGTAGCAGACTGTTTACCGGCTGATGGAGGGGCGCAGCTGGAAGTAGTGAGGGCATGCTGATGGTCCTTGCCTTTGTTTCTAAAATCCCAAACTCCGTAGAAGGAGGCTGCTTGAGCAGAAACAGAAGCAGGGTTTTTTAAATTAGCTCTTCCCTTCTTACCCTCGTAGTGTTGAGAGGTGCTAATTAAGTCAGAGAGAAATGTGCAGGGATCATGGCTTCTCAAGTGGGGCTTGAGGGGTGGGGGTGGCAAAACCTCCAGGAGGAGAGGGCTGTGCTGTGCATGCCGGAGAATCTTGGCAACCTGTCCCACCCATGGCACAGGGCCGCCCAAGCTGATGGGCATCGAAATGACAGCTGTGTGCTCCAGTACACAGTGACCACGCTCTCATCCCACCCTCAAGACCGGGGCCCTATGTGATCTCCAAACAGGATTGGGTGGCAATCCAAACAGGACACCTGCAGGATCAAGGCTTAAAACCCAAACTTAAGTGGAGTTATAAAAAAAATTTTTATTCGCACACCTCGGCTTGTGGGCTGAAGTTTATACCAGTTATAAGTAGCGAACCATCTGGATCCTCCTGATTCCAATCTAAAATTAGAGACACCTCATTTTGAGGCAGTGGCCATGACCCAGTGGGAAGACTGGTGAGCAGGGATGAGGTCAACTCCCAGAAGTCACTGCGAACATTACAATCACCCAGTGGACCACGGAGGGTCGAGATCTATTAGGGCACCGCAGGATGCACGCATCCGGGCAGAGGAGAGCGAAGGCAGAGCAAAGGCAGCCTCGCGAGGATCTGCTGGGCAGGTTACCTTCCCGTTTCTTGGAGAATCCCTAGAAAAGAAGGGGCAAGGAAGATTTCTAAAAACCTTTTGTGACAGAAATGTTCAAACACAAAGTAAAGAGAATTATAAAATGGGAACGCAGCTTCATGCACCCATCACCCATTTTCAACAATGGTCAACAACCTGTCATTCTTTTTCTACACACACACACACACACACACACACACACACACAAGCACATCATACTTTTCCATTTTATATTTATTGCTTTTAGTGTACATGTCTTAGGGGATGAAGATTTTGAAGCAGATATCAGGCTTTATATCATTTCTCCTTAAATGCAGTATTTATCTTCAACAGACACAACACGTTTTTTTAACCAAACAGCGATATTATTATCTTACCCAACGTATTTAGTCATAATTCCCTCATAGCACTTAATAACCAAGCCATACTCAATTTCCTCCAACTGTGTTAAAATGTCTTTTTTATACCTTCATTGATTTCAAGATTCAAACAAGGACCATATGTTGCCATCAATTTATGTATCTTTTAGTTTAGAAGCACCTCCCCCCGTTTTTGCCATTTATTTGTTGAAACTAAGTTGTTTATCCTGTAGGATTTTGCAGTTTTGAAATGGTTGATTGTATTCCTGTGATGTCATTTAAGATATTCCCTTATCACCTGTATTTTCTTATAAGCATGTAATTAAGTCTAGAGAATTTATTAAAGTGAGATTCAATTTCTTATTATTGCAAGATTATTTTATAAGGGGTGCTATGTACCTTCCTATAACATCACAGCAAGAAGCTCATAAAGTTGTCCCATTTTTAATGATGTTAAGATTTATCAGTGATTTCAGGTGCTGTCAGCTTGATCCCTCCTCCAAAATGCCCCCCATCAGCCTTTCAACAAATAGCATTTAGTAACCACTGACAATCACTACTTCATTAGGAGTTGAAATTTTATTAGAAATTCTACTTCCATCATTCCAAGGCAAATGATTCTTAATTCATTTTTCTTATACCCCGGATTTCCAGAAGAAATGAACCCCTCTTCAGAAAGGAAAGATGATTTCAGTAGCACCAGGTCAGGTTCCCCAAACTAGGATCCGTGGGGTTTATCTCAGCAGGTCTAAGCTGGGATGAGATATACTTTAGTCATTGTTTCATTTCTTCATTCATTCTTTATTCTGCAAATACTTATTGAATCCCTACAATGTGCCAGGCTCTCTAGACCCTGTAATTGAAAATTTATGAACAAAATAGATAAAAACATTTTTTCTCAAGGAGCTTCATTCTAGAGGAGAAAACAGACAATTTTTAAAAATAAATGATGTATGTAGTAGGTTAGACATTGACAAATACCATGCAGAAAAACAGAGCAAAAACCTGAATTTGGGGCTATAGGAAACAGGGCTATTTCCATGTTAAATGGGGGGTCTTCACTAAGAAGGCCCTGTTTCAGGAAGACCTAAGGGCAATAAGGAAGCTTAGAGTCAAGAGTCTATTTTCCAGGCGAAAAGAAGAGGCTGGAGTCCTGGATCAGGTGTTGCTTGGCCTGTCTGAATATCGCAAAGGACACCAGTGTGGCCAAAGCCAAGACAGGGAGAGTGGTAAGAGATGAGGTCATGGAGACCATGAGGGGCCATGTAGATTGTTGTTAAGGTTCTGGCTTTTATTCTGAGTGACGTGGAAAGCTTGGAGAGGTTTGAGTGAAAAATTATAGTTTAAAAGATCACTCATTTCTTTGTTGAGAAAAGACTATTGGGAGGCAAGGGAAGAAGCAGAGAAAACAGTGGGCCTATTGCAATAATCCAAGAGAGAAAAGATCCATGAAAGGAAAAATAAATAAGCCAGACTTCATCAAAATTAATACCATTTACTATGTTACTAAGAGTATGAGAAAACAAACTACAGACCAGGAGAAAATGTTTGCAAACCACGTATCCAATGTCCATAAAGAACTCTCAAACTCACCAGTAAATAGATAAACAATCCCAGTAGAAAATGGCAAAAAACAAACAAACAAACAAAAAAAACATGGAGATGTTTCACCGAAGAGGATAACAGATGGCAAATAAGCATGGCATAAAGTGATGTTTAATATCATTAGTCAGTAGGAAAACACTTATGAAAACCACAATGAGATATCACTATACACCTATCAGAATAGCTACGGAATTCAGGTTAGGAATTAGCATCCTTCTCCAAACAATGATTTCTTAGCACCTGTGCAAGTCTCCATGGAAGGCACAGTAGATAATACCTCTTGCTCTCCACGACAGCAAGTTAACACTGGAGAAAACACTTCATAAACCACACCTGATGCACAAATATGAGGTGTAATAGTCACTCTCAGGAGCTGCAAAAATAAATAGTTTTAAACAAGAATGGACCTTGATGTTCTCTAATCCAATTTAAGATTCAAGTACCAATTCCAATATGTGTGTGAGACAGGTTGGAGGGCAAGGTACAGGGGGTCCCCACATGAAATAATTCTCAGAAACCAGCTGGATGTCCTATAATTCAATTCAATTCTAACACTATCTACCCAGAGATAGCATCAGATACCATAGGTTAAGCACTCAGTCCTACAAGACTCTCACACACACACACACACACACACACACACACACACACACACACTTCAGATGCCAGTCACAAGTCCAGGTTGTCAGCTTTTGACTGACCTGCTATATAGACTGGAGTTTCCAACAACTCCTACCTTGGGTGTGATTAATTTGCTCACACAAAGTGGCTCACAGAACTCAGAGAAACGTTTTATTTACTTGATTACAGGTTTCTTAAATAAGGTCATAACTCAGGAACTGACAGATGGAAGAGTTACACAGAGCAAGGAATTGGGAAAAGATGAAGCCCTCCATGCTCTCTGAGCACACCACTCTCCCTGTGTTTGCCAACCTGGAAACTCTTTGAAAACCCTCCTTTGGGGGTTGTTTGGGAGCTTCCTGACATAGGCATGATTGGCCATTGGCCATTGGGAACTGATTCAACTTCCCGCCCCTCTCCCCTCTCTGGAGGTGGGGGGTGGGCTGAAAGTCCCAGCCCTCTACCCACAAGGTTGGCTCCACCCCATCCTTAGTTGCTTTCCAAAACTCACCTCATTAATGTAACAAAGAAACCTTTATCTCTCTCATTATTTAGGAAATTCCAAGAGTTTTAGAAACTCTGTATCAGAAAAGGGTTGAAGACCAAATATGTATTTCCTGTTGTATCACACAACTACCTTTAATTTCTCCAGCTCCCCTTCCAGAGGCTGCCCAACCATACTTCAATATTTCCAATGTAGGAAACTTGCTTCCCCTCCAAGCAGCTCTGACATCTATTTATAGAAAACTCAGTAAATTTTTAATTTAAGAAAAGAAAGATCTTCTATATCTCTGGGGCCTTCCCCCATTCATCACAGTTATACCCTTTAGGGACAATATCAATCAAGAATAAGCTTAATTATGTTATTGTAAAAAATTATCTCCCCAAATCTCAATGGCTTAAAACAACAGAAACTGCTCCTTGTACATGCCTGTTGTGGCTGGCTTGGAGTTCTGCTTTCTCATTGTCCTCATTTTTGGACCCAGGTTGACAAAGCCACCCCCACCTGAAAAACTGTCAGTCATCACCACAGAGAGAGAGAATTCTGGAGGGTCACACACGGGCATCAAATGTTCTGGCTCAAAAGTAACAGACATCACCTCCACCCAAAATTGTTGACCACAATCTTATTATG